GGCAGCCCTCCCTCGTCGCTTCCTCCTGTAGCGCTTCTGCAGAGACGGCGTGTCATCTCTGAGGGGCTTTTTGTTTCGGTTTTCTGCTAGGGTGAGCAAGTCAGGATCGTTCCCCCTGTGGAGCAATAAATAGGCTCTTCACTCCCTAGATCATCTTAGGGACCTTTTGCTGCACCTGTTCCTCCTTCAGCTCTTTTTTTAATTTGAGCAGATTCATAACTACTCGTTGCATCCATAGCAGGATGAACGTATTCCTGGTTGTAGTGGAAATGTCTCAGTGCTGTCTCCTAAAGTTGTATTTACTGCTTTTGTAGCTGCAGCATGTTGATAGTCATAATAATCAATTTTGAAAAATTTCCCTATGTCTTTCTCCTTTGTTGTTTCTAATAACATCTTTTAGGAGAAATTGTTATTATTGGTTCCGAAGTGTATGACCTTATATCCTTTACTGTTGAATTTCACCCCACTGCTACTCCAGCTCACAAGATCATCCTGTTCTCCTTTATGATATCACAATATCATTTATCATTTAATATCACTTTCTTGAAACAGTCCCTCTTCTAATCTCTTTGTTGCTTTGTCTCTTTGGTTTGGTGCCATCTATAAATCTGATTGGAATTTACTTACTTATTTTAATCAGAGGAAACATAACAGGCTATGAAGCAGTAGTACAGAGTGAGGAGAGAAAGGTGAAGGTTAAAAGGGCAGGAAGAGGAAGAGAAGCTATTTCTTTTATTTTTAGTGTTGCCGGTCCGGATAGTCTTTGATAACGCAAATGACCAAAGTTGGGCTGCAGCTCAGAGCTGCTTCAAATGCTGGGCCAGAAGCAGTTCTCTATGAGCTCACAGCTTGAGAATGATTGTGTTCTCAGTCTACTGCCTTTGAGATTATGGAGCATTTGCCTTCAGGAAGTTGGAAAGCTTGTTATTTGAACCATTTAAAACAGATTGAAGAAGTAGATGCTGTGGTATAGAAACAAGCCTTTATTGGCCTTTGGACTGAATTTTTGGATTTTATTTAACAATGCAGTGCTTAGTGAGAAAAGTTAAATCTGTTATTCTTGTGTTTATATTGAAGCCAGGCTGTTGAATAAAACTTTAATGCCTTTTTTTTCCAGCGTACACATGATCTGCTGTGTAAAATTGCATTTGTGAATAAAAAAAAAATGAACAAAACCCAAACACCTTTTTATTAAGGTCACACAGGATGAATGTTTCACATTACATACAAGCCTTACCTGGAGGTTTGTGGCTTAGACTTTTTTTCAACTAGAAAATGAGTCATCAGTTATAATGAGGAAATTTGTGGACTGTTCCTGCCTTTTCTGCCCACTTGCATGGGTTGTGATACAATTTGCAGGAGAGAGGTATCCTATTTGTAGCAATGCTAATTGTTATGTATACATCCGTCTTCAGGATTTTTTTTTTTATAGTAAGTCACTGACATTTCACTCAGGAAGGCTATGAAACTGTAGCTTTTATAGACTGATAGTAGAGTAATACTTTGTAATTTTAGATAAATTTGTATGTATTGCACAGTTTTGTAGTTCCTTCTCTTATGTTTACTCCTGTTACCTTCTTTCTCACCGGGCGGGGGGGTTCTAATTAACATACCAGTTTCAAAACCGAAGCAGGGTAGATATCTCTCTGCTCTACAGAACTACCAGCACTGGAACAATCTGCCCTTCCATTAAGTTTTATCTGGGGATGGCATGTTTTTATAACTGGCTATGTCTGTGAGTTCCTCTCAATGTGGTTACTTTGCCACACCTGACCAATGGGATAGAATCTGTAGCTGTATTAGAAACTGGAAATTAAGAAATTCTCTGGAAGCACTTGGAGAATTAGTAACGACTAGTGATGATTTGCAATAGGTGGCTATATCAGAATCACAGAAACCATAACTGCATCATGTTGAGCCTGTTCCATCAGAGCATGTAAGAAGCTCATTGAAGACAATATGGTTATTCACATATCTAAGACCAAGTGTATACTTAAATGCTGAACTGTACCAGTGTCTGTAGGATCAATACACAGGCTCAAATTGTCAGAAATACTTAGGAGCCAATGATCTCAGTTTGTATATACAATGATGTGCCTTAAAAATACCCTACCAGTTAGCTTCTACAGTAGTACTTGTGAGGAACAGGCTATGCTTAGTAGGAAAAGTTTGTTACATTGGAAAAATACTACATTTAAAGTGTCAGAGAAACAAAAGGCACAAAATAATAGAATGTGTAGGTAAAAAAAACAATTTGCTATTGCACAAAATCATAAAGCTCACCGTAAAGCACTTTTTTTTGCCATAAAAATGTTTTGGGAACAAAAATAAAATAGCCTTTTCACTATGTTTCACCATTATCTCCTAGGTGCTTTTGTTAACTCAACCTTGAAAATAACAGGAACTGATTAAATAATGCTAAAATAAGATTTGAGGTGATTATCCAGTAGACATCCTCTTGCCCTTTTTAAAGAGCAGTTTTAGAAAGTAGTGGGCTATCAGCAGG